AAAGGGACGCTCTTCAACCCCACCGAGCTTAACCTCTCGGGAGGGTCTGACCCTGTGGAGGCCCCCCAACTCCAGTCTCACTTGGCCCTGTCCTTACCTCCCTGGCCACTTGTCCTTGGGCAGCTCCCCTCCCCAGGGCCTATTTTCTCCACACGCTCCTGGGATGATCCCACCCACCACCCTGGCTTCCATCAGTTTTATGCTGGGGGCTCCTACTTCTGTCCCTCCAGCCCAGGCCTCTCTCCTGGCTTCTAGACCCAAAGCCAGCTTCCACAGGGCACCTTTGTTCACAAGTTCCACAGGTTCATCAAACCCCATGTGCGCATCCAGCTCCACATGCTGTCCTCCCGCACGCCGGCCCCTCATCTCCGTCTTGCCGGGGTGTTCAAAACCAGAAAGCCGGGCGCACATCCTGCCGGTTCCCTGTCCTCCCACCACACGCAGTTCTTCATCAGATCCTGATGAAGCTGTCTCCTAACTCTCTCTTAAAGGACCCACTTCCCTCCATGCCCGCTGCCAGCAGCCTGGTCCAAGCCGCCATCATCTCTCGCTGGACTCCCGCCACTGCCTCCTGAAGGCTCCTTCTCCAGAGCTCCAACGCAGCCTCACCATACAGCCATGGGGACCGTTCAAAATCAGGAATCTGTGGTCCTGCTCTGCACAGCTCTTCTGGTAACGTTTACCCACTGCGCTGGCTTCCAAGTTCCCGGCACCCGCTGACGTCAGGCCCCCGTACCTGGCCCACCTCATCTTCCCCACTCTCTGCCCAAGAGGCAGGCTTTCCTCAGCTGTGTGCCGCCTCCCTTCACACCAGGTGACCTCAGCCTATGTGTCCCCTCACCTCTTACACACCTGGCCAACTCTAGCCCATCCTTCAGGCCCCCATGAAATGCCACTTCTCTCTAAGCTCTGTTTGGGCCCCGACTGTCTCCTCCCACGGCCAAACTCCTCCCATCTTAACACTGCTCACCCTTCACTTGCTATTCCGTTTCATCGCTGTGTTCACTGCTTGACCCTTGACCCTGAGAGGTCAGAGCCTGGGCCCGTCTCATTCACCATCTAACCCCAGTACCTAGCCAGCACAGTGCTAATGTGTCAGCACTGAGTAGGTATTGGTTCATAAATGACCGAACGGCAACCCTCCCTGTCCTGCCCTTGAGCCCCTCCCTCCACTGACCTCTGACATCTGGGGGAAGAGGCTGATGGCCAGCGGCAGGGCCAGGCCAAAGGCTGCCAGGCACACGAGGCTTTGCACGGGGAGGAGCAGCCGGGGGCGCGCCTGCAGGAGAGCTGTCCTGTGGGAGAGAGAGAAGGGGGTGCCCCATGAGACCCAGAGACAGGGTGAGCTGGCCATTAGCCACCATGCTGGGTCCCACTGGGTCTGAGGGCCAGGCCCAGCCCATAGCTAAGTAACTGTGGAGGAATTCTGTCTTTGGGACCATCCCCCGGTGGCAGCCCTCTCCCCAGGCCCTGCCCTGAAGGACATTGCCGCTTAAATTCTCAACCATAAATCATAAATGAGCACCTGTGGGGCACCCACCCCACTGTGCATCCAGCCCTGCGCAAAGAAGGCCACGTGTGGGGTAGACGACAGAGGAGGCTGTCGGCCCCTGCTCCTGTGCAGGGGGTGGGGGGTCCACGCGGGGACACAGCGGAGGAAGATGGGCCTTGAAGGCAGCACATATTGCAATAGTGAACAAACCACACACGCATTCACGCACACGCACGCACAAGCACGCATACACACGCGCACACAGCCAGGAGAGGATGACCTCTTCCGGGTATGGGAACAGAACACACCCTGCTGACCACCTTGTCACCTTTGATCCAAGAGCCACAGTGACTTGCCCAAGGCCAAGACCAAGTCTGCAGGAGGCAGGCAGGGCTGCTGTCTGGGTTCCTCTGACTCCCTAAAGGTGCTGTCACTGAGCTGCTCTGGCTCTTGCCTTAAGGACCCTCTGCCTGCTGCATCACCAGTTCACAGTTGGCACCCCTCCCCGCGGTGAGCAACAGAGCTGGGATTCTTGGGCAGGAGAGGGGTACAAAAGCCTCCCTCCAGGGCCCTGGGTCCCCCAGCCCCATGACAAAACGGCTTCTGCAGACAGAGTGGAGGGCATAGCAGCTGGCGAGTCCACCTTCACTGCGTTGTCCATCAGAACATTTCGTTCTGTATAATCCACCAGGTATTCTGCTTGGGGGGGGCCTGGGGTGGGATGTGTCAGCAAGATGGATTATTTGCCAAGGGGTGTTGGGTGGGTACACATGCTGCCCTGGGTAAGCGTCAGCCTCCACCGCATTGAGACTGGCTCCTGGTGTGAAGAAGCTATAACCAGGGCTCTTGCCCCTCCCTTCCTGGAGCAGGGCTGCTGTGGCCACAGGCAGGGGAGAGGCTTTTCTGGGGGCAGCGCCTCAGTGTCAGGGCAGGCAAACCCCACACCACCTTCACCTCCTGGCACATGAATCCCAAGAGCAGCTGGCTCTAAGGCGACAGCAAAACTGGGAGCAGCAGTTCTCAAACTTTAGTATCTAGGCAGTGGTTAAAAATGCAGACTCCCCCATGAGATCCTGATTCAGCTGGTACTACACCTGGGAACCTTCCATGAGTCCAAAACAGGTGATCCCCAGACCACACTTCTGGGAAACTCTGGCCCAGGATGTTCCTACTTAGGTACCAATAACAATCCAATCACTCGTAAATTCTATGCAAGTAAAAGACCTGGACACAGTAAGTGCTCAGTGAGGTGTGTTAGTATTGCTGTCGTTACTGCCCTTGTTACCAGCAGGAACGAGGGAGGATCCTGGTGGCTGGGTTGTCCTCCAGCCCTTCCCACTGGCCCAGACCCCAAGATCTGTCCAGTTGTTAAATTAAGCCTGAACTGAGCTATTGGGGAGGGGAATTTCCACAGGATTAAGAACAGGGGGACAAAGGTGCCCAAATCAAACTCAAGCCCTTCTGGCATCCCCTCTGCCTTGGTCCAGTGCCCCCATCTTCTCCCTCTCTTCCAGGTGAGCCTTACCCGCCTCTTCCCCACGGACTCAGCCTGAGGCCTCCTGGGCTTCCATGGGAGTCATGGAGGGGCTGGGAGTAAGGCTGAGATGGGTCCTGAGATGTTTTCAACTCAGATTAACTTCTCCAGCAGGACCAGAAGGTGGGCACTCTTGCTCCCGTGGCAGGGACTGGGACTTCAGCCCCTGTGGCCAGAGCAGGGGGGAGGGGACAGGAGGGTGTGTGGTCCCTGGAGGCACAGCCCCGAGGGAGGATCACGGAGGGAGGTTCCCTCCCTGGCAGGTGAGGGGCAGGACATGGACTCTTTCGGTGGGGACACTGGACAGACCCCTTCTACGTGGGGCTGCGACCTTGGTTCCTCTCTCCGGGTGGCTGGCTGAAGTCCCCACTGTGAAAGGGATCCAGAAAGTCCCTGGCCTGTCCTCCCCACTCAGGAAGGAGGAAGGTTCAGACAGCAGCCAACAGGAGCCTCTGAAGTCCCAGCCCAGGCGGGAGAGTGAACACAGCAGGACAGGGGGAGGGGAGAAGGAGAGGGAAATGGCAGGGAGGAATTGGAAAGGCAGCTGGGGGAGTTAAAATATGCAGATGGAGAGATGTGCGAATGCCTGGGAGAGAGGAAAGACCCGGATCCCCGGGAATGAGGGAGGCTGGGGAGCGGCCTCAGGAGCTATCGTGGAGGGTGTGGCCTGAACCCTGACCAAGCTGAGACCCAGCCTGGGAAGGCAGAAAAGTCCAGGCCCGGGCCAGGGCCAGGGATGCAGAGCTGGGGGAGAGACCCCCCAACAGCTGCCTCCGAGTTGGGGGGGCGGGGCTGCTCTCCGGGCCCTGAGTCCAAAACCAGCTTCCTCCCCAGGACAGTGGAGCTGGAGTGGAGCCCTGGGCCTGAGGGAAGGCTCAGTGGAGAGTGAGGGGTGGGGCATGCACCCCTCAGAGAGAGGCCCTGCTCGGCAGAGTGGAGGATTCTCGGCTTCTGACAGGAGACCCTTTTCCTTTCATCTCAGAGACAGGGACACCTGAACACGCCGCCCACCTCTGCTATCCCAGCAGGAAAGCCAGGGTCCTCCCAGAGAGGAGAAACTGAGGCCGGGGCCAAGCCAGACTCGCTGCCACACAACAGCTTGTCTCCCCATTGCCGTGCCTTCCCTCAGCACTTGGAGCAGTTTTACTTTTGCGCTCCATTAATTTGCAAGCAGGCTGCTTTGTAAGTGTTCTTTTGTCTTTTTTCCCTGGCTGTCCTGACTCCCTTACCCAGCCCGGGGCTCCGAGGGTCGAGGGTAGGGCTGCCTCCCCCATCAGCCTCCTCAGCAGAGGCCCTTCCATTAGCACCCTGCATGGAAAGGCCGTGGGGTGCTCGGCAGGGAGGCCCCAGCCAAGAGCCCGGGGCCCGCTGGATGGTGCAAAGTGCCAAGCTCTAGTGGACAAGGTGGTGAGAGGGGCAGTGCCATCATTCTCCAGGTGGGAAACTGACCAGCCCCCCGGGACTCCTGCCAGGAGTCTCAGTTGGTGCCGGACCTGCCCTGCCCCCCACCTCACAGTCTGGCAGCTCCCCCGGCCCCATGTATATGAGGTTAATTATGTCTTTGAGGGTGCAAACTGAGTCTTGATATTCCTGGGGGAACCCATGCTGGACTCTTTCTCCTCCTCAGAGACCCTCCCACAAGCTTCAGGAAAGGACCAACTAAATACAAGTCTTCCAGGAGACCAGTGGCTAACTCTCTTCTACCTACCCGAGGGGCTTCCTTTGACCCTGAGCTGAGCCAGATGCAGGGCACCCGCAGTCCAGGCTGATTCCAGGCTGGGACATTCAGAACTAGAACAATCCCACCCCACCTCCCAAGCCTCCCAAAGCTAAATTTAAGCCCCCAACCAATGGGACACTAACCGCCACTCCACGTTCTGCAAACCCAGCTCAGATGGCACCCAGAAGGCATCACAGACCACATTTTTCCCCAGCAAATTCCAGGTTCAAGATTCAGTAGCCTTGAAGACAGAAGCCCTCCCTTCCTCATTTGCCCAGTGGTGTCCTTATGTGCACTTGCAGTCTCTGGTATTTGGGGACAGCCTCAGTTCGCCAGAGAGCGGCGTATACGAGGTTCAGGGGCACCAAAGCAATCGCTTCCCATGATTTATTTTTGCAACTTCCAGAGATTAATATTCTTAAGTCTCAGTGTTCAACACGCCATCCCTTGCTCAGGTACCCATGCCCACTATGCACCTCCCCCACTCTTCCAGGGGACGAAGGGATCATCCCCTCAGCTGGACACAGGGCCCCTTATCAGCAGGCCCGATGAGAGAGTGTGCTTTGCTTCTGTTGGGTTGGGCTCTTCAAGGTCCACGCAGCAGGCCCACACCTTGCCCAGAAAGCCCTCCCTTCCAACAAAATCCTATTTTACTCTCAGTGCCAGCTGCAGCCCCTTTCCTCTGGACCAGCCCTCCCCTCAAGGTCATCCTTCCTGACCCTGTTCCCACACTGCTGGGTCCCACCTGCAGCTGACCTTTGTGTGGGTCCTGCCCTTATCAAAACACAGGCTTTCTGAGGCCAGTTCCCCAAATCTGCCCCTCTCCTGTCTCCATGTGGGGTGGATTCCAAAGACAGGCTGATTATGTGCTGTGATCCAGTGTGGTAGGAAGAGTCCAGTTTTGCAGCCATATTCCTGGGCCCTGCCTGGCTCTGCCATTTCCTAGTATGTGACTGTAAGCAGATGACACAACCTCTCTTTGCCTTCCTTTCCTTGTCTGTAAAATGGGGACATCATGCTCACCTCTTTGCACTGTTGTGAAGGTTAAATGAGATCATTCATTCATTCAACAAACACTGAGCATCACTGTGTGCTAGGAACTCTGCTAGATGCTGTGCAGGGCAGTAAAAAAAAGGAACTGACCTGCCTCCATGGAGATGACATTCTAATGAAGCAGACAGATAGCATATAACTAGATAAAGAATCTCAGCTATGGATAAGTGCAGTGAGTAAAAATAAGGCAGTGTAGCGGGGGAAGAAGCCCTGGTGGCTGTAATCTCGATGGGGTGGTCAAGGAGGGCCTCGTTGAGGAGATGGCATTTAGGGGGGACCCGGCTGGGAGAGGACTGGGATGCAGCCAGTGCTTAGCTGTTAAGTGTTAGCTGTTATTGTAATTTGTTTTGTGGGAATACGAAGGTCCCCAAATTGGGGAGAAGCCCCTGATCCAGAGCCCCAGAGGGAGTGCCCCCAAGCCCATCCACTGCCTTGAGGTGCCCCTCCCAGGCTGGGCCCCCGGGAAGGAGGAAGCGATCACCTCTTCACTTCTACCTGCACCAGACCTCCAGGCCTTTGCTCATCTGGCTCCCCACACCTGGAACCCTTCCCTGCCCCTTGCCGTCCTGCTAGATATTCCCCAACCCTCAGGGCCTGCCCAAACCCGCCCTGCTTCCTCCCTCCTCTCCTCAGCCTCTCCTTCCAGCAGCATTCCCGCCTTTGTGATTCAATTTCACACTCATTAATTAATAGAATCACTCCATCATTGTTCTTATTATTGTATCTTCTTATTTCTTTATGGTCAGGACAAATGTGTTCTCAGAACATCCCTCTGAGGGCGGCAGGGAGGTTAGTACAATTATTGTCTAAATGAAGAAACTGAGTCTCAGTGAGGTGGTGACTTGCCTCATGGCAGATGCCGGAAAGGGCTGCGCTGGGCCCAAGTCTAGTCTTCCCACCATAGTCCTCAGACTCTCTTCACCACTGGTCCTGTGCTGTGCACTAATAGAGCGCGTGCGTGCACACACGTGCACACACACACACACACACACACACACACACACACACACTAGAACCGCCAGCTCCAGGGCAGGGCCAGCCATGTCCATCGGGACATCCCTCCTAGAACTTAGCACAGGGTCCTGAGCAGCCAAAGTCCATGAATTCTCACAGGATGATTCCAGCAGCCCTGCCAGGGAGAGTTTGAACAAACCAGGACCCTTGCCGTGGGCCAGCAGGTCCCCCTTCCCCCACCCTCTCCGCTACGATGGCCTCTGTCCTGGGCCCCAACTCACTTCTCCAGCATGGACATGACGATCGGGGGTAGCACCAGGATGGGCATGGGGAGGACCACCCGCGTCAGCGCCGTCTCCAGCAGGGCCTGAGGGGCAAGCAGAGGCCGTGGTGAGCGGGGCGGGGGTGGGACAGCCTCAGGCAGCCCCGGAGCCCCCAGGTGTATGTACCACTGCTAAGCACATCTGGCTGAATGGAATAATTCATGGAATCGCTCACGAAGCCGTATTCCAAACAACAGAAAAAAGCCACCCCCTCTTCCCACAGCAGATCCGCATCACCTGCCACATGTGGGGGAGGGGAGGCAACCCAGAAGCGGCCCCAGCAAGGGGCCTGCGCCCAGGGAGGTGAACCGGGTGGCAGGGTATAGCGGCTGGGAGGAAACATATGGAGGACCTGAGATGTTCTAAAAACAAAGCAGGCACTGGAGGGGCCAGGACAAACAGCTGTGGCCTGCTGAGCCTCGTTGAGGCTCCTGGTGCCCAAGAAGAGGGATTCTGGGATTTACTTTCTTTTCCCTTAAAGACAAAGATCTGGAGGACCTTTGCCATTTCCTGGCTCTGGATGAGAGTCTTTCTTAATGACAAGAGGTCAGCTTTGTAAGTGGGAAATGCTTCTGCTGAGTGCCTGCTGTTCCCATATGGGGTCTGCCTGGGGCCTTGCTCTGGGGGCTCCCTTAGGATTCCTGGGGTGGGTGCTGGTCAAGGCACAGCTCAGTGGCAGTTCTGCACCCTAATGGTCATTGTGATGAGTTCCTTTAACCCCACGGGCTCCCAGCCCTCAGAGAAGGCTCAAGGAATGCTTGTAACCCACGGGTCCCTGGAGTCCCAAATGGCAAGGGGCTGATAGAGCCAGGAGAAGGGAAGCCCAGGGCTGCAGAAGAGCTTGGAGTTCCCTGCTGTTTGGACCACAAGGAGGAGTTATCACAGTTGGCCTCCCTCACAGCAAGTAGGGAAGAGGATAGAGCTGGATAGGAGGTTAGGGTGATGTAGGAAATTGAGGCCAAATCCCCTCTGATGAGGGACTCAGGGCTAAACATTTCTCCCAGGAACTTGGGTTCTTCATGACCAGCATCAGGAAGGCCTGGGAGAGGTCCCTCCAGTCTTCTGAACAGGTGTGGGGATGACAGGGGGCCCAGAGCCTGTGCAGGAAGCAGAAGATGTGGTGTTGGCACTGGCACCCCCGAGCCCCTTGCCCCTCACAAGCCTTGGACAGACATTTACTTTCCCTGAGATCAGTCAGTGGGGAGGGAAGGACCAGAACAAGAGAAGCGTCTTCCTACATCAGAGGCTTATGGAAAAGGCCTCAGTGACAGGGTGCGGTGGGGGGCCATGTGGGAGCTCATAAGGGACAGGGCTGAAGCAGAGGGGACCCAGCACTTGGAGGCCAGAGCAGGACAAGCCACTAACTGCCATTAGGATGAAGGCTGGAAAGCACAGGAAGATATACAAGTAGACAGGAATTTTTTTTTTTTAATTACAATTGCTAGATGGGTGAGGCTGGTGAAACCAGAAGTGAAAGAGGGCCTTCTTATAACAAAAGATTCTTCTCCAAACCACACCCGTGGCTTCCTGCAAGCCCCAAATCCCTCCGCCTTGACCGTACTCACTCCCTAATGACTATCACCTGCAGAAGTGCTTATTAGCACACAACCACAAACCATCAGCTTCTATGCGTCCTCTTCTCACCCAGGAGGATATGAAGGCCCTAGGCCCTAGGTCCTGGGGAAGGGAAAGAAAGCTCTTGGCGGGGTGTGTGTGTGTGTGTGTGTGTGTGTGTGTGTGTGTGTGTGTGTGTGTGTGTGTGTGTGTGTGTGTGTGTGTGTGTGTGTGTGTGTGTGTGTGTGTGT